AGCCACGGAGCAGCCACGCCGTCAGGTGGAGCGGGGCCAGGTTGGGATGGAGGAGACGACCTCCCTCCTGGGAGAGGAGGTCCAGGCGGAGCGGCAGCCTGTGAGGGGGGGCCGCCAAGAGTTGCAGTAGGGTCCCGTACCAATGTTGACGGGCCCAATCCGGGGCTATCAGGATAATTCTCGCCCCATCTGACTTCACCTTCTGTAGGACCCTGCCTGTGAGGGGGAAGGGCGGGAAGGTGTACATCAGGGGCCCCGACCAATCGAGCAGGAACGCGTCCGTCATGGCCCCATCGCCTTCTATCACCCTGGAGCAGAACCTGGGACACAGGCGGTTCTGGGCGGTGGCGAATAGGTCCACCTGGGGAGTGCCCCACTGAAGGAAAATCCATTCTGCCACCTCCCTGTGCAGGGACCACTAGTGTTGAGGTGAGAACACCCTGCTCAAGCAATCTGCGAGCATGTTGCTCTCGCCGGGTAGGTGGAACGCTCGGAGGAGGATGTTGTGGGCTATACAGAACTCCCACAGGAGTTGGGCTTCCTGGCATAAGGCCCTGGAGCGCGTGCCCCCTTGCTTGTTGATGTAATACATTGCGGTGGTGTTGTCCATGAGGACTCTGACCACCTTCCCTTGCAAGTGCTGGCGAAAGGCCAGGCACGCCAGGCACACAGCCCTGAGTTCCCTGACATTTATGTGCAGGGTCAGTTCCTCGGGTGACCACATACCCTGGGTTCTGACATCCCCCACGTGGGCTCCCCAGCCCAGGTCCGAGGCATCCGACACTAGATCTAGTGAGGGAGAGGGGTCTCGGAAGGGGATACCCCGGAGCATGTTGCTCGGGAGGGACCACCATTGGAGGTCTGCAACCACCGTCAGCGGTACCGTGACAACCTTGTCCAGGCCATCCCTGGCCTGGGAATAGCAGGAGGCCAACCAGAGTTGGAGGGGCCTCATCCGGAGCCTGGTATGTCGCACCACTGTGGTGCATGCTGCCATGTGGCCGAGGATTTGAAGGCATATCCGAGCCGTGGTTACCGGGAAGGCTGTGACCGAGGCGACGAGACCTCTGAGCGCCTCGAACCTGTCCCTTGGAAGGGAGGCCGTGGCCGCCTGGGAGTCCAGCAGTGGTCCTATGAATTCTATGCGCTGGACTGGAACTAACATGGATTTCTCCTCGTTTACCACTAGGCCCAGAGTGGAGCAGGTGCGTAGCAAGAGGGATACTTGCTGCTGCACCTGGAACCGGGACTTGCCCTTGAGCAGCCAATCGTCCAGGTAGGGAAAGACCTGCAGCCCTCTCCTCCTGAGGTGGGCCGCTACCACTGCCATACATTTGGTGAAAACCCTGGGGGCTGTCGAGAGGCCAAAGGGGAGGACCGTAAACTGGTAGTGGTACTGACCCACCAGGAAACGGAGAAAGCGCCTGTGACCTTCGAAAATGTGGATGTGGAAGTAGGCATCCTGAAGGTCCAGAGCTGCAAACCAATCCCCCGGGTCTAGGGAGGGAATAATAGAGGCTAGGGACACCATGCGGAATTTGCAGCGTACCAAAAACTAGTTGAGCTTCCGCAGATCGAGGATGGGCCGAAGCCTGCCCTTCGCCTTCGGGATGAGGAAATACCTGGAATAGAATCCCTTGCCCCGGAATTCCCAAGGAACCCTCTCTACGGCTCCCAGGGAGAGGAGGCGCTGTACCTCCTGACCTAGGAGGAGCGCATGTTCCGGGTCCTCCGCCGACTCCCTGGCCGGATGGCAATTGGGAGGGGGTGAAACAAACTGCAACCTGTACCCCAAGGATACAGTGTTGAAGACCCAGCGGTCCGTAGTAATACGGGACCATTGCAAACGGAAGGCAGGTAAACGATTTGCAAACCTGAACTTTATTAACTGGGGGGGGGGGGTTAACCTGGCAACAGGCCCGGTGACCCCCGCAAGCAGTCAAAAACGCCGCTTCCCTGGCCTCTTGGCCTTAGAGGGCCCCGGACGAGGGCCTGAGCGGGATTGGCGTTGTGACCGATGCCTCTGCTCCCGCTGCTTCTTAGGCGGGGGCTCGTATCTACCCTGAGCCTGTGGAGTGGAGGTGTGAGGCCTGGGCTTGTCCTTGGCCGGCGGGATGTACAGGCCCAGCGTCTGCAGGGTAGTACGGGAGTCTTTCATCCCATGCAGACGCGTATCTGATCTGCAAACAGGGCCCGACCATCGAACGGCAGGTCCTGCATGATCGACTGGGACTCAGCCGATAGGCCAGAGAGCGAAAGCCAGGATGCCCTTCTCATGGAGATCGCCACGGCCATTGAACGAGCAGCATCGGAGGCCGCCTGGAGCGCCGCTTTAGCCGCCGCCGCACCCTCATCCACAAGGGCCCGGAACTCCTTCCTGTCCTTCTCGAGGAGGGAGGGCTCAAACTTGGCAAGGGACCCCCACAGGTTAAAATCATATCTGCTCAAGAGTGCCTGGTGGTTGGCCACTCTGAGCTGAAAGCTCGCAGACGAATAAACTTTTCTCCCAAAGGAATCCAGCCTGCGAGCGTCTTTGTCCTTAGGGGTAGGAGTGGGTTGGCCGTGCCTCTCTCGGTAGTTCACCGACTCCACCACTAGAGAGTTTGGAGTTGGGTGGGAGTATAAAGTACTCGTGCCCCTTTGTGGGCACAAAGTACTTCCGTTCGGCCTTTTTGGAGATCGGACAGAGAGATGCCGGGGTTTGCCAGAGGCCAGTAGTAATATTGGCCACCCCCCTAATGGAGCGGGAGGGCCACATGCCCCGGCGTCGAGGAGGTCAGGACATTAAACAATGTGTCCGATGGCTCCTCCATCTCCTTGGCCTGGAGCTGGAGGTTTGATGCCATCCTCCTGAGTAGCTCCTGGTGGGCCGTGAAATCCTCCTGAGAAACCGGAGGTGGTGGTGCCACGGAGTCGTCCGGCGCCAAGAAGGTCAGTGCCGCAGTGTCGTCTGCGCCTGGCTGTACCTCAAGCTCGATGTCCTGACCCGGCGCCCGAGTCAGTGCCGGAGGGTCAGTGCCCACTGCCTCATGGCGGTGCTGAGGCGGCGACGTCGGCTGGGCCTGGGACACTCCTGTCATGGAGCGGGGTCCCGGCGGTGCCGGTGCCTGGGGCCACGGTGCTCACTGGCACAACTGTCCCTGCCAGGGAATGGCCTGGCCCTGGGATGCGAGGTGGCCCGGAAGGGCCGGCTGGTCCTGCGGCACCGAGCGGTTCGACGAGGGTCGGCTGCGTGCCGAAGCCGAAGTCCGGGATGAGCGGGCGGTGCCGTACGAATGGCTGGAGCGGTCCCGTACATGACGTCTCCGGCCCCTGGGGGAGGACAGGTAGGAGTCGGGGGTGCTGTCCCCGTAGTGCCTCCGGCGCCGAAGACTACGACGCCTCAGTGCCTAGGATTCCCGTGACGAGCTCCGGGCGTAGCGCCTTCCACGGCGGGTGCCGGAGCGGGAACGGTGGTGCCGACGAGACCTGTCCCTGTGGTGAAGGCTCGAAGAGGAGCGGCACCATCTCTTAGTGCCTCCCCTACGGTCTCCGGGAGTGGAGGTGGAAAGCTCGCTCGCAGACGATCCTGCGTGGAGGCACACCGAGGTCCGCGGCTCAGCCCTTCAACACGGGACAGTATCTCGACCTCGGAGACATCCGGAGAGGGTCGATGGGCACTGAGCGAAGGCTTCCCACGGGATCGGGGGCCCGACTGGAGCGGCGCTCCCGGTACCGGAAGCGTCATGATGTTGCACGCAGCCTGAGCTGCCTCCGGCGTCGATGGCATTCTCACCTCTAGCAAGGCACGCGTGGACGGCACCGGACTACTCTGCTCTACCCGAGTCAGAGGTCTTGGTCCCGATGGGGAACGTGGGCTGCCCAACGCGGGTCTAGCCTCACCCCAATCTTTCTCCCGGCACCGCTGAGTCTTCCCTTGCTTCTTAGAAGGGGAACGGTGTATTTTGAGGGCTTCTCTCCTGGTCTAGAGTCCTCTCTGAGGGACAGATATGTTATCTGCTCCAAGCTGCATTTGCATTTGACATGGAGGAACCTTTTCACTTCAGAGGGTGAAGCCGGGTTTCTCTATCTTGGAGTTGGCGCTGAAACTGTCCATGCCGACACAGTCCACACCAAGGCCTTCGGTGCCAAGCTAGATGTGGTCAGTTTGGGGGTGCCAATGCTGATGGTTTGGACACCTTTTTATTTTCCCTTCCTTGCTAGAACTATGGATGTGGAGCCCAGTAGCCAGGATACTCACCAAAGACAATCTCCTCGGTTCCTGTATGAAGGATGTCTCCACTCCAGGATCTAAAGCTACCTTCATGAATTGCTCCAAGAGGTGCAGTTTGAACTTCACATCTCAAGATTTCAGGGTACAGGATGAAAAGGAGCAGGAGTCACATTTGTTGGGGATGTGTGCTTCCCCAAGACAAAACAGGCATCTGCTGTGTTCGTCTATGATGAGTATAAACTAACAGCAGGAAGGGCAAAGCTTAAATCCGGTGGGTTTTGATTTCACCTTAGCCAGTGGCAGGCGCAAAGCACCTCACTCAGGTGTTTAGAGGGGGAATCTCTCTTCTGTCTTTCCTAACTGCTTTCTTCTTTCTTTTTTGGAATGGAAACACACAACAAAAATCAAATGAAGAAATTAATAAAACAAAGAGAAGAAGAGTTTCTTCACTGGAGAAGAGTTCTGAAATTCAGAAGCAGGTCAGATACAGTCCAGGTTGTGTCTCACTGCCAGGGGTGTTAAGCAGGAAATAAGGGAGGGTTGGGGACACTTTGCCCTATATGCCTTCTCATGGGAGCACAAGGAGGCACGGCCCTGCTGGACATGGTTGTACAAAAGAGACCAAGCTTGCACACATGTACACTTATACTAGGATCCACACTGACACATGTTGAAGAAGAATATTTATGCCACCTAGAAAATGAAAAAAACACCCAAGTAAAATGCAGCAGAATATCCATCTATATCTACTACCATAAATATTAAGTAGGAGACCACTTCTTGTTACCTAAGAACCTCTCTGAGTATTTTCATTTCTTGTTGTTCAATTTCAGTGAACACATCAGAACCATCTGTCAAACAGTCAGGTAGCACACCTATAAAAAAAACATAGCAAAAATGCATGTATTGCTCTAAAGAAAATGGATTCTTACTCCATTTTGCATGCATTCTTCAACCAGAGAGAGAATAGTAGGGAGAAATTACTAAACTGTAATTCTGTGTCTCAGAAGATATGTTTCCAAAAAGATTCTAAACTTTTGGGTCTCAACTTCTCAATATGAGACTGGCAAAACTTTCAAAGCTCTAAAGGACTGGTCCCCAAGGGCAGCTGTAGCTGGTAGAACATGAGCCAGGCTCTCCATTATTCTGTGCCATTTCCCACATTTCCGAAGCTCCCGAGTGACAAGCCAAAGTGAAAAATTATCTCGCAGACTAAGAACTATTACAGTAGGAAAAAACAGCACAAAAAGACAAAACCCCAAACTCTGAAGGAGGAAGATGGGTGGATGAATGGGAATCATATCAGAAAGATCTTGAGAGAAGCACAATTACAGGTACAGTAACTCCTCGCTTAACGTTGTAGTAATGTTCCTGAAAAATGCTACTTTAAGCAAAATGATGTTAAATTAATCCAATTTCCCCATAAGAATTAATGTAAATTGGGGGGGTTAGGTTCCAGAGAATTTTTTTTCACCAAACAAAAGACTACACACACACACACACACACACACACACACACAGTATAAGTTTTAAACAAACAATTTAATACTGTACACAGCAATGATGATTGTGAAGCTTGGGTGAGGTGGTGGAGTCAGAGGGTGGAATATTTCCCAGTGAATGCCTTGCTGCTAAATGATGAACTAGCACAAGGCTGAGCCCTCATGGGTTAACACATTGTTGTTAATGTAGCCTCACACTCTACAAGGCAGCACGAATGGAAGGAGGAGGAGACACAGCATGGCAGAGAGAGACAGACACGTACCATGTGTGTCTGCGTGAGAGTGAGAGACAGAGACACACACCGTGTGTGTGTGTGTGTGTGTGTGTGTGTGTGTGTGTGTGTGTGTGTGTGTGAGAGAGAGAGAGAGAGAGAGAAAGACACACACACACCGTGTGAGAGAGAGATGTGCATTGCCCCTTTAAGTACGCTGACCCCACTCTAAGTACACTGCCTTTTTAAGTAGATCAGCAAGTTGAGACAGCAGTTGCTGCCAGCAAGCTCCCTTCATCCTGAGCCCTATCATGTCCCCCGCCTGCTCTGTGGAGATGAGGTGCAGGAGCGGGGGAGAGGGACACCCTGACATTAGCACCCTTCTTCCCCCTGCCCCCCCTGCACAGCAAGCAGGAGGCTCCCGGGAGCAGCTCCAAGGCAGAGGGCAGGAGCAGCACATGGCAGTGGGGGGAGGCACAGCTGAACTGCCCGGCAATTGATAGCCTGCTGGGCGGCTGCTGCACAGGGAACTTAGGGGAGCTGATACGGGGGCTGCTGGTCCACCCTGGTTCCAAGCCCGCACCAGCTAGCTCCAACGGTCTGCTCTTTCTGCAAGCAAGGACAAAGCAGGCAGCTGTGAAACAACATTACCAGGGAGCATTGCGCAACTTTAAACAAGCATGTTCTCTAATTGATCAGCAATGTAACAACAAAACAACGTTCACTGGGACGACGTTAAGTGAGGAGTTACTGTAAATAATTTTCCCTCATCTAAAAGGTACTCAGATATTATGTTGATGAGTGGAATAAAACAGTCCATGAGGAAATCAGTAATTCTGTATTCAGTACATAGTTTGGATGATGTGCAGTAAATATGGCATGGGACCACACAATGAATGACAATAAAAATAAATATTTAATAGCTACCTATTAAGTGAGCATCATCCACCCTGTGCACTGAATGAGACAAGGGTCCAGTGGAAAAAATAGTATGTGATCATGTAAAGACTATTATAACGCATACTCAGAAGGGGGCCAAATTAAGGTTGCACAGACAACCTTAATTCTGGCATTTCCTAGCTTTTAAGTGCTTGACTTTGCAACCTTAATGTTGTTTTAATGGAATTTCTTGTATATTATATGTGTGCATGTGTTTGAGTCTGTTGTTATTCAAACAGAAAATTGTAGGTATTTTTCCTTTTTTGTGGCCCCAATTCTGGGTTCCACCATGGCCCCTTTATGCTGTTTTTTAAAAGGAAACAGCTTACAAAAACAGTCAGTGTGTTCAAATTGAGCATGTGTCCAGCCTACCCATTGACTTGGGCATTCAGCTTCTAGTCCCTGGCTCTGACCCTTAGCTCTGCTCTTGACTACACCCCGGGAGTCCCGTGGTCCTCATCCTTGACTCCACTCTAACCTCCAAGCTTGGCTACCCCCTTGGCTCCGACCATTAGACCCGATTGCCCATGTCCCAGTCATGTCCATTAGACTATTACTTGTAACAACTATATACTTTACTTACACACACACACTTTTGTTGTACAGACCAAAAAGGCAGAGGAAAATTACAAAACCTCTAGATTTAGTTTCAAGCTTACAGTGTGAAATACAAGAGTCGAAGTCTCCAGACAATAGCATGCTGAAATTACTGCACATATATATGTATGGAGTTGTTACAAGTCAATAGATATTAATAGAGTGACTAAATAATAACTGTCATGTATTTAACTCCTACAGTTTGAGATGCAGCACCTGAAAATGAGAGAGTAGTAATGGAAGTACACATCAAACTTACTGTACAGCCATTATGTTCAAAACTGCTATACAGAATGAGGTAAATATTCCCCCATACTGAGGGTCTAGGACACAAATAAATTGGTACGATTCCTCTGGGTAGAGAGTGGGGCTGGTGAGAAGATTTGAATGTGCATTCCCTACACAGAGTAGAATACAGCTCCTTGTGCAGCTATACATAGAGGTTTGGAGCAACGGTAAGGTTAGGTGTCAAATGGATCAGATGCTATGAAAATCCATCTGTCCCTGTCCTCCACTGAGCTGGGGAACAGGCAACTTGAGAGCTGCTGCACTTTTGATCACAACTACATTGTGCCAAATTATAGTTACTTTTGTAATACCACCATTTAAATCAGACAATCCTTAAACTGAAATTTGAATCCAAGTTTCATAGAAATAATCTAATAGGCTTTCAGATAAAGTTTTAGATACATTTTAAAAGGAATACAATTAGCTGTGGCTGACAGAACCAGTTGTAGACTCAGGGTGAAATCCTAGCCCCACTGAAATCAATGGAAGTTTTGCCATTGAATTCATTTGGGCCAGGATGTGCCCTTAAGTATTTATGGATGGGTAGACCATAGAGTTATCCACAAAACAGCTGAAAAGATGCACTGAAAACTAAAATTTCTCATTTACTATTTCTTACCATTTCTTTCTTGAATGATTCTAATGGCTTGCAACTGCATTTCAATATTTTTCTGTACCATCATTTCTTTAAATAATCTAAAATCTTCTGCTGCCAACACTGGTTGCAAAATGGCCTTTGGGGGGGAAAAAAATCTACAAATTAATAAAAAACTTTATAGAAAGCAAAAACTGATCATTTCAAAATAGCCCAAACACGAAAAGCTCTGTATTATTACAGCAAGACAACATTTGTATGTTGTGTCTACTTAGGATCTTTTTTGTTTTATGCCCTGAAATAAACAGCTATTGCTGACACAATGCCAAGAACGCTGGAAACAACAGGCAACTATCCAAGGATTCATGAGCATGGAAAACAAAGAGCTTTTCTTGTCTTATGCTCTTTAAAATCCATCACTGCCGTATCTGATTTTCTGTTTTCTAAATGCAGTTTATAAACTGTATGATATAGTAAAATTACTGCTGGTGGAATTCTGCGCCAAAAAAATAAAAATTCTGCAGGAAAAAAATAAAAATTCTATGCACAATATTTTAAAATTCTGCAAAATTCTGCATATTTTATTTTTCAAAATAAAACAATATAATCACACCACTTTCAATTATTTTTGGTCATTTATTTCAAAATACCTGTCAGCAAGTAGGTCTGTAACAATACCAACAACAAAAAAAGATTCAGGAAACGTTTTTTTTGACAAATAGATTCCTTACTAGGCATATTAATACAGAATTCCAAGTAATAATTCATTTAAACTACAATACAGAACCGTTTTTCCTGCACCCCTCAGAAGCAATGCAAAGGCTTGGGAGAGTCAGGGGTGACAGAATTGTTGAGGGAGCGGGAAGTAAATTGCTAGGAAGGAGCCTGGGTGTGAACTTGGAGGGTTGTTTGGCATGGGTGGGGAAAGTATGAAACAGTTTTATTTGGGGGATGGGAAGGGATTGTTAGGGAGCTTCCCCCATGCAGACCCTGGCTGACCCCTAGCCTCTCCCATTCAGTCAGGCACATCTGCCTCTGTCCCCGTGTGTGTCTGTGCCCTTACCCAGCCACTCCCCTGTCCCTATGTAGCTCTGCACCCTCTCCCCCATCCCCAAGTGTCTCTGTGCCCTCACCCAGCCTCTATGTAGCTCTGCACGCCCCCCCGTCACCATGTGTCTCCGCACCTCCCTCCCCTCCGTGGCCCTATGCCTCCACTCCCATTCAGCCCCTGCCCCAGTCTGTCCTCCCCCACTAGCCCTTATGAGCCCGTCTGACTCCCCAGCACCCCGCGCTGTCTGTCTCTCCATAACCCCCGTCTCCTGACCTGGCCCGACAGGCGCTGTGAAGAAGGCAGGCTCTCTCTTCCTTAGCTCGCTGTTTGCTTTCAGCTTTGTTCTATCGCCACAATGCCCTCTGGTGGGCAAAAGGCGGAACTGCAGCAACATTTTGGCAGAAGCTTTTTCTGTGCAAAAAATTAGAAATCTGTGGGGCTCGTTAATTATGTGCATGTGCAGAAGTGCAGAATTCCCCCAGGAGTATAAAATATATTAAATGACTTAATTCAACATTGAGGCCCCAGTCCTTCAATGAATTCCATTGCAGGTGGACCTCTACACCAGCACAGAATCCCAGTGAAGTCAATGGGACTCTGTATGAATGTTAAGGTAACTCATGTATAGTTCATTGCAATATCAGAGCCTAATATATTTAATTATTTTTAATTGAACATTATTATATGTTTTGTGAACCTAGTGAGACTGTAATTCTGTCAAACTTATCAATATTTTAATAGTTATACCCAACTCTCCTAGACAGGACAAAAATATTTAAGGCTGTCAAAAGGAATAATAAAAATTAAAAGCTGGTTGGTCTAGTGGCATATAATAGTGCTCTGCATTTTATGTGAATTGGATTCTATTCTCATGGTGAAATCCTGGCCCCATTGAAGTCAATGGCAAAACTCCCAGTGACTTTAGTGGGGCCAAGATTTTATCTTCAGTATTTTTTTCCTCCTCAAGCTCACAGGAGAGTGGTATGAAGGCAACACACGCAGCCCATATGCCCATTCCTTCTTGGCTGGTGACAGAACTTTGAGTCATTAGCGCTGTTGGACTGAAAGGTAGGTAGGAGGATTGTAGAATTACACTGGAAAGACAGATTACACTTGGCTAAGTCCCACGCCATTACTGTAATGGTGGAGAGAGACTTGATGCATGATGCAGTGGTGGTGTGACTTACTCTGTAGCAACTTTTGTGTGTGGTTAAAAGGTATATTACAAGCACTGAAGGTGCTTGCAACAGAGCTAACACTTAAATTTCTCTAATGTAGACTAGACTCCAGATTCTGGATAGGCCATAAATTAAAAAAAAAGAAGAAGAAGAAGAAGAAGAAGAAGAAAGCTAGTGGTTAAGGGAAAATACCTGGAATATATCCCCTGCTCTCTTTCTAACGACAGCCAACACATTATGGTATGGTTGCTAAAAGGAATAAGATGTCTAACATTTGCTCCTCCACACCACAGTTCAACTTAAGTGCTACAATTTGGTGAGCTTTCCCAGAATCTGATTTTGAAGCTCTGTAAAATAATGCTGAAGGACTATGCTGTGTCCAAGATAATTAGAAACCAACAAGAGTGATTCCTAATCTTTCTCCAACTGAAAAATCACGTGGGCAGAAACTGGCCGGCTATCCATTCCAAAACTTTTCTAAAACCTGGATATTTTTATATTTGTATTGAAGTTTAAGTGATTTGAAGAATTGTGGCTCAAGTCAATCTTTCTTTGCAGCTTATTTTGTAAACAAATTTAAGGAAACTGATTGATAAGAATCACACTGTCCTTGTTATTTTCCCTTTGTAGTAAGGGTTTTAAGTCTCAATATCCCATGCCCTCCTAAACAATAACAACAAGGAGTCTGGTGGCACCTTAAAGACTAACAGATTTATTTG